AATTATATATATATATATAGAGAGAGAAAGACATTGCCCTAAAGGGTTCCGAGATGTCCCTGAGCAACATTTAAGCATGTAAAATGAATATTTTTATATTCTATCACCCAAAGAAAGTTCTTATTTATTTTTATTTTATTTTTTAAACAATTGAGTAATTTGCATACACTTTGAGAACTGGTTTGTGTGAATCATTTAAAAGAACTGGTTCAATGGAGTTATTTGTATGGCTCCACACAGGTGGCTAAACTAGTGATTAGATGTTTGATTATACTAGTTTTGACTCTTGTAATGCAGGTGGAAAAGTCCTTGCATGTACACCCTCCTAAAGCCTGTTCTGAATTACATATTTAAACAAATGTGAATTTTTTTTTATAGCTCTGGCTGTAAAAACAGCATGAATCACCTACGAGAGGGTGTGGCACATGAGGCCAAACACCGCTGCCGCTATTCAGCGCACTATGATAATCGCATCTATACCTGCAAGGTAGGTCGTAAACAATGCAGCACGTGACCTGACCCTAAAGGCTACACGAGCTTTGTGACTGCCCAGGTCTGACATTATGTGTGTTAACCTGCTATTCCAGGTTTGTTATGAGAGTGGCAAAGAGGTGATTGTGGTTCCAAAGACGACGGCATCCTCTGACTCACCATGGTTTGGCTTGGCCATATACGCCTGGTCCGGGTGAGTCGTGTCATTGAATTATAGTCGTATAAGGTGCATTTAGTTCAGTTCATTTAGACATACAGGACTAAGTTGGGCTTTTTCCTTTGCAGATATGTGATCGAGTGTCCAAACTGTTCGGTGATCTATAGAAGTAGGCAATACTGGTATGGGAACCAGGACCCTGTTGATACAGTGGTTCGGACTGAGATCCAGCATGTCTGGCCAGGGGTGAGAGTAATCTGCCATTTATGCCACGTTTCTACCATTTAAATAGCAAAAAGAACAAGCTTTGTTTACCTTCACATTTACGTCTCAGTCCGACGGATTCCTGAAGGACAACAACAACGCTGCGCAGAGGCTGCTGGATGGTGTGAACTATATGGCTCAGTCTGTTTCAGAGCTAAGTGTCAAGCCTGCCAAAGCCGTCACTGCCTGGTTAACAGACCAGATTGCCCCTGCTTACTGGAAGCCCAATTCTCTCATCATTGTGAGTTTTAATGCTAGGCAATTTTAATGTGCCTTTTGAATGAAGAGAAGTCTTCACTAAAACACTAAAACTTTTTCCAGAGATGTAAAAACTGTGGAGAGGAATTCCAAGATAATGATACAAAGCACCACTGTCGGGCCTGTGGAGAAGGTTTCTGTGATGGTTGCTCCTCTAAGACACGGCCAGTCCCTGAGAGAGGTTGGGGCCTGGCACCTGTGCGAGTCTGTGACACCTGCTTTCAAAACAGAGGAATCCCAGAAGGTATCGCCGAAGAATTTAAGATTTTAAATAACATTTTATTTTAATATATTAAAATTACCCATGTGATGGCAAAACTGAATTTTCAGCAGCCATTACAGTCTTTAGTGTGACATGACACTAAAGACTGCTCAAAAGCATTATTATTCATGTTGAAAACAGTTTGATAAAATCTTGGATGAATAGAAAGTTCAAAAGAATGTTTATTTGAAATCTTTTGAAACATTATCAATGTCTTTACTGTCACTTTTGAGTGAAAGAAGGGCATATGGCATTAGAACACCACCAGGGTCAGTAAATCATGACAATTTAAAATTTGGGCTAAACTATCCTTTTAATGCATCCTTGCTTAATAAAATTCTTAAATCTTACTGGTACCAAACTTTTGCATAGTAGTGTTATACAGTACTGTAGGGCTGTCTGCCACTAACGACTATTTTTATTTTGATTAATCTGTCGACTAATTTATCGATTAATCGATTAATCTAAACAATTATTTAGGAGAAAAATGTAAATGTGCAGTATTCCTGAAAAAAAAAAAAAAACTTTTTTTTATATATAAAATCAATTAATTGGAGATGCTTTTGATTATTAAAATTTAATGGAACCATTAAAATGTAATCCAGAAAATAATGGAAAACAGAATTTGGTAAAGATAAAACTGTAAAACTCAATTAATTAGACAGGCTTTTGATGAATAAAATGTTATTTAACTATTAAAAGAGAGTATAGAAAAATGAAAATGGAAAAAAATGAATTTGGAAATAAATATAATTTCATAGTGCCCTATAATTATAATTAATTTTTTTGTGGTAATAAAAATAGATGTAAGTGATCAATAGCCTTTAAAATTACTTAAAATACATATATAATAGCAATGAGCCAATAATAATTAGTTCAAATAAAGTACCAAAAGCAAGAAATCATATGGTTTTATTGAACAAAATTGTTAAAATACATAATGTATTATAAACAATAGAGCTAATGTACATTATGCATTACAACAAAGGTCTGCAGGGGGCGCCAACGGCCTGGTGATTATTTTTACACATTGCTGTGCGATCTAATCCTTGAACGTTATAATAAACCCAAACTCACAACAACATGCAGAGATGGAGTTTGAGACGCTCCACACATGTAAATGATAACAGTTCCTGTGGAACTACTGTGAACGGAGCCGCTGTGTGACGCATGTACATAATTAAAGCGCATATGCTGTATTAGAACTGCATCGTATATAATTATTTAATTAAATCGTAGTGTTTGTGAAATCACAATTATGCTTAATTATTTTTAAATGTGTTTAATATCATGCAGCCTTGGAAAACAGACTAAAAATGTGTTTTAAACATTCTCGTCTGTGAAATGCGCCACTTCCGGTATTTTGCCGGTTAGTCGACTCTAGCAAAATGAAGTCGAGGATTTTTAAAAATCGAATAGTCGAATAAAATCGACGAATCGCGACAGCCCTACTGTACTGTATATACACTGCCGTTCAAAAGTTTGGGATCAGTAAGATTTTTATTACTTTTTAAAGAAGTCTCTTCTGTTCATCAAGCCTGCATTTATTTGATAAAAAATACAGAAAAAACAGTAATATTGTGAAATATTATTACAATTTAAAATAACAGTGTTCTATTTTAATATACTTTAAAATATAATTTATTTCTGTGATGCAAAGCTCAATTTTCAGCATCATTACTTCAGCCTTCAGTGTCACATGATCTATCAGAAATCATTCTAATATGCTGATTTTTTATCAATGTTGAAAACAGTTTTTGCTGCTTCATATTTTTCTGGAATAAGTGATACCTGTGATACTTTTTTCTTATGATTCTTTGATGAATAAAAAGTTAAAAAGAACAGCATTTATTCAAAATAGAAATCTTTTCTGTCACTTTTTTTTTATCAATTTAACACATCTTTGCTGAATAAAAGTATTACTTTCTTTCAAAAATAGAAAGAAAGAAAATACTGACCCCAAACTTTTAAACGGTAGTGTATATTGTTACAAAAGATTTCTATTTTAAGTAAATGCTGTTCTTTTTTACTTTTTATTCATCAAAGAATCCTGAAAAAAACATCACAGGTTCCATAAAAATATTAAGCAGCAAAAACGGTTTCTAACGTTGATAATAAATCAGCATATCAGAATGATTTCTGAAGGATCATGTGACACTGAAGACTGGAGTAATGATGCTGAAAATTCAGCTTCGATCAAAGGAATAAATTATATTTTAAAGTATACAGTAAACAGGTATTTTAAATTGCAATAATATTTCACAATTTTACAGTTTTTTGATCAAATAAATGCAGCCTTGGTGAGTGTAAGAGACTTCTTTAAAAAAACATGAAAATTCTTACTGATCCCAAACTTTTGAACGGCAGTGTGCATATTGTAATAATTTCAAAACTAATGAAGAAAGAAGCTCAAAAGTGATTGCTTTATCATAATCTACTGGGCTTTATCAAATCATTTATGTCTCAAATAATGCCTTGCTAAATAATGTCAAAAACACAAACAATGCATGATTTACATAGGTTTGAATAATTCTGAAAGTACTACACCCTTGGTGTCAGACATTGGTGCAACATGTTGTGACATAAACATGCAGTATTTCAATCCATAATATGAATAATATCAAAACTGGTCTCACACAGAACTACTGGATGCAGCGCTGGAAGAGGAGCAAGGTGGGACTCTGATCGCCAGGAAGGTGGGAGAAGCTGTTCAGAACACATTAGGAGCGGTAGTCACTGCTATAGACATCCCTTTTGGTGAGTTCTTCACTCCTCTAAGAGCCTATAAAAATGTTAACATGTATAAAGAATATCTCTTTGGATTTGAGACTTTAGTCTTTGCAACTTTACAGATCTTCTTTATGCACCAAGAGCTTGTAACACTCCAAAGAGAAAGGAAAAATTGAAATCGCATCATATGACCCTTTAATACTAATATGAACGCACACTGGAAATACTGTTGAGTGTCAATCTATTATAATGTTTACTAATAATAAACCTTTGGCTTGTTCAAGCAACTCTTTCTGTGATCTTTAGGATTAAGCATTTTCATTTCAGAACAGTTACATACTTGTGCAGGAATATCTCAGCGTATATAAATGATCAAATGCATTTACTAGGTCTGGTAAAAGATGCCGCACGTCCAGCATATTGGGTCCCTGACCAAGACATTCATTGCTGCCACCAGTGCCAGCGTGAGTTTAATGCCCGTCTCTCCATCCATCACTGCCGTGCGTGTGGACAAGGAGTATGTAACGACTGCTCCCCTGATCGCCTGGCCGTGCCCTCCAGGGGTTGGGACCATCCTGTGCGGGTGTGCGTCACCTGCAGCCAGAAATCTGAAGAACTCTAGCAGAGCCGAACATCACTCTACATTATAGGACACCCTCGTATTTGGCCACAGTGCTTCAGAACAGGTTGGGAAGGAAGAAGCACTGCTCTCGAACCAATGAATCCAATGAATGTTTGTTTGAGAGGAACATCTCTGCCTTTTGTTCCAACACTTCATTCACATCATGCTCCTACATAAGCTGTTCACAGTTTAACATGTAATGGCCTACGTAATTTCTTCTTTTAAAGGTTAAATACAGCAGGAAAATAAATGTATGTCAAACCCTCGACAATCCTTTGTCTACCATGCAATATGTTACCTGTGGGCAGGCCCAGATGGAATGAACGTTTTTGGGAAAATCTGCAGAATGGGTTTAAACAAGGTAGAAAAAAAAAGTGTTAAACATGATCAAAGGTGTAATTATGTCCATTCTATTTCTGTGACTGCAGATCCATATGGGCCTTCCTGTGGGTAAAGGCAGCTAACATATGGCCTCTACGTGATACATAGACCGGTGCACAAATGATTGTTTACCATCCTGTTGTGTTATTCAATTTTCAGTTTTAGGAAAATTTTTCCGTTCATTTCCTTTACCCTCCAAGAAACCCTAGTGTAGCTTTTAGATTAATTCCTGTTTGTTTCTATTATTTGCCTATTATGGAACAGATCTGGCATGATCATGCTAAACTATCAGATGTTGTTCAGCATAATTCTTTATCATTTATTTTAAATGTGTGTACTCGAGCAGGACGTTTTTGTTTTAAGTTTTTAAAAACGGACCTTTTTAATGAATCAGTGCCACTGTTGCCGAATCAAACTGCATAATGACTCTTAACACAACGCCGGTATTTGCTCTTATTTAGCCCCTGGTATGTGTTATGATCCCTGTCAGTTAAATTGTTTTCTTGGCCAAATGAACACTCATTATGTAGAATCAGGTTATCGTAGACTCAGTGAGCCATCATGTGTGGATGACCGAACATGACTGACACAGACATAAGAAACATGAATATCATTTTATGTTCTTTGCACCTTGTATGCCAATTAAACTTGAGTACCTCTTTAAGAGTGTGGCTTAAATATAAAAATGTGTAAATGCATATTTGTACTTAAAGGGACAGTGCACCCCCCTTAAAATAAATAAATAATAATAATAATTTTG